TTTTTTTTTAATTTGTTTTTACATTTTTTTTTAATTGATTTTTTTACCTTGGTTTTACATATTTTTTTTAATTGTTTTTAAATTTATTTGCTAATTCATTTTTTATTATCCAATCGGATGGTGCACAGTTAAATGAACCAGTCCGAGTCAAATTTGATCAAATAATTTTTTTCATATGTGTATGTACATACTAAAGAGTATTGTTGTTTTGAAAAATATTGAAAATAATAAGATCTTCTCCACTATACACACGACAGTCGGTTCTACCTTACCACAATTGACTCCGATTTTATTGAGGCGAAAAAAAAAAAAATATTTCCGTAATCTGGTATTGTCGTTTTAAAAATTACTATAACTAAGTTTTTCGATTGCAAACTTACAATACTTTCGAAAAATACGATGCAAGCATAAATAAACAGTTAACTATCAAACTACAATTTTCGTACCACTCTGTATTGCATATTTTATATCTAAAAGCAGTTAAATCCCGCCTGCTCGCTATTGTTCAACGAAAAAATGTATTATTTTGCATACCCTCCGATATTTATACACAGCTAATTACAGAAATACTTTAAAAAAATATGAAAATATAAAATGCACAAGTGCTTTGTCGTAAGCTGCCTTTTTACTATATACAAATTATATATATTACAATAAGCAGCCAAAGAAATGAAGCTTCCAAAAATTATAAATTGCGTGCTTAAGTAAAACAAACAAGCGTTTTTCGAAAATATACTATATGAAAGTTATTTATTAAAAGTGTCTGGAGTTGTGCCTAACATAACAAAATATGTAATAATATATTTGAAATTAACTTTAATAAAAGAAAAATGCATTTACTTACGAGTACGTAAAAATTAAACTAATGAAAATACATATATTTCGGGTTTAACTTCAAAATAATCCGTTTTGTACAAAATTTTGTTTGTTTTTGCTGAATAATTTAATTTGATGAGTTTTAGACGGAAACAGTGCACGTAAATGCAAAAAATGCAAAAAAAAAATTTGAAATTTTTTTTTTGAAAAATTTGCTTAGTATTAAACAGAAATGAATAATTAAAAGTAAATAAATAAAAGAAACTATTTTT